TTTAGCAATGTATAGTTGGTGTTGTTTTCCATAGTCTCGAATCAAGCATCTATATTTTTTCCAGACCAGACATCTGATCATAATCATAATACCCTCGACAACAAGTTTATAATTGTTTTCGATCGTTTGTGCTGTTCGGGGATGTTCGTAAACATTTGTAGGGGGTGCTAATGGAGAAGAATCGAGAAAATCTCACACATTTTTACCGCTCAGACGGAGCTCTGCCAATTTGCATATGCTAATTGAAGATCAGCGATTGGCGATACAATGCACAGCAGCACTTTCCCAAAAAATAATGGAAAGCCAATTAACGGTTCGTGGCGATCGCCAAAGATCGAGTTAGATAGCGGTGGTGCAGCAATGTAATTGAGTAATTAGTGGTGGCGAAACAATTGTAAATGAGACCCACATCCCTCCTCTTGGATGTGGGATCAACATACAATATATATGCATGTATGTATGTGCATGATCTACATATGTGCATATGTATGGGCACAATTATCTGAACTTGACCCATACACACTCACACACACACACTCAAAATGCAAGGTTGCTGGAATTTAATTCGAATGGCACGTCTCCCCCTCTCTCTTTCTAGCGCTCTCTGAGAAACAATCGGGCTTTTGCGCGCCAACAGCACATTTTGTGCTGTCCAATAAGCCTCTCTCTCACAGTCAGTGCTGGTAAAACAAAATTGTTTGGTTACTTTTTATGCAGCTATAAAGGCCGAAACAGTGGCTATATGTATTTAATGCTAAAATAAGCTGAATGTATTTTAAAAATGCGTAGTTAATACAGCAATTTTAAAAATTGTAAAATAAATTCCATGTAAAAAAATGTAGACATAGCCTGAAAAAAGCTAAAGTGGCAGCACTGTCTCTCTGACTGTTGATCGGAATTTCTGCCGTTCTCTGCCGCTGTACACGTTGCCTCCGATCCACATTCGTCATTGTTTCTGTTTTTTTCTGTTTCTGCGCGTACCCACAAAATTATTGAACTGAGGAATTAATAAGGAAAACAAAGAAAATAGAACACGCCGTAATCAAAAGAACAATAAAGTGAAGTCTGTTTAAAGTCAGGCCCATGTGATACGATACAATTGAATCTCCTGCCGGTTTCCCCCTCGCACCATTTGTCGCGTGAGTTTTAAAGAAAGTGCAGAATGCTGACAGCGCGGCTCGGCTCTCTTGCTGCCTCTCTCCCTCTCGGAAATTGTTTGTGCCGCTATTTGTTGTTTCTTCTGGTGCTGTGTCGTGATTGTCGATTCTCGCCTCTCGTTTCATTTATCTCTGCCTCTGTTTTTCTACCTGTGTAACCGTCTGCCGTCTGTGTCTGTGCCGTCTGTCCCTCTGTCCGTCTCCATCTCCAATTGTCTTTTATCGCTCCACGCCACATCCACATACACACACGCACACGCGCACGCATATACAACATACACGTTCGCAATTCCAACATCAATTCATTTCCCCAACAACCTACCAAGTTTTTGTCGAGAAATATTTGTTTAGTCGAGTTCTAGGGGGCTCCAACGCTACACCGGGCCATTCTCAAGCCGCAAGCCTCGCTTAGAGTGCGACATCGAAGGAACTACATAGATATAACCCGATCAGAGCTCCGTTTGTCTCTCATTCCAACGTACATATCAAGTGAAAGTGCGCCAGTGCTAGTGCAAAAATAGAGATCAGCAGCAAAAGCAAACCAATAAATCAACAGCAGCGGCCCAGCAGTCGCTCTTTCTTGCAGTCGTCCAAGCATCCAGGCACCCGTCCATCGGCATCTCATCTCGGCCACGTTATCGCTTTTCTAACAAGAAACAAAGAACACAAGAAAAGAAAAAACTTGCTTCGAATTCCCTAGAAATTCATCGTCCGACATTCCGTCTGCTCTGTGGATCCAACTGGAAGGAGAGGAGACATTCTTATTGGCAAATATTCAGTGTTTTGTTCTTTTGTTCTAAAAAAGCCGGTCGAATCATCGAAAGCTGTCTGTCAATGACCCACGTCGCCTGATTGTGACTCGATATTTGCCTTATCAATGCGCTGACTTTTTTCCTGATTTCATTTGTTGCCTTTGCTTTTGGTTTTTGTTTTTGTTTGTTTGTTTGCTTTTGCTGCTATTGATAGCTGTCCGGGGAAGTGAGATAAGGATCTGCCCTCTCTCTCTCTCTCCCTGTCACTCTTTGAGTATAAGTCTAATTGGCGATCCGATCCTCCGGTTGCATTTGCACGTATGGAGAGATAGTTACCCCGTATTCCGATAACAGATAAATGCTAATATTCATGTTGGCGTTTCGTGCGTGACCAAAAAAGATAATAGTATAAGCCACTAAATCTAATCGCCAGCGCAGGCCGAATTGATTGGCGTGCGGTTAGACATCCACTAAATGTAGAGTGAGAGAGGGCTCCGGACGGACGGCACCCATCCCCTCCTCTCACGCTAATGATTAGAGCTCGCCCCAGCGTCGTCATTTCTGTTCTACCAAAATGATAGTCATCAATGCCTTTGACGTAAGTGGTTTCCGCACAGACATTCCCCCACCCCCACCCCCTACCACTCATACCCGCACCCGTACCCCTACTCGTACTCATATTTTGTATGTTGTTTGGTTCCTCTTGGTTCTTGGTCTCTAACTGGTTGTGGTTGTGGCTCCAACGATCTTTCGTTCGTCGCCGTCTTGTGGTGAAGGTCGCGTTCTGTCCACTATTTACGAGTTCCCTCTACTACTTGCAGAAAAGCACCGAAAGATGCTCAGGGCTAGGCGTGCCATTAGTATATACATTGATGATGAGCAGGTATACCCCCCCAACCCTGCCCAGAGATACATATAGTGTGGCACGTGCCGCTCTGGGGGTTTTGCATCTGCGAGTCTTAATTGAAGTTTCCGCGAATAGTTTTGCAATGCAAATCAAAGCCAAGTTTGGGATTTATGGCCCAAGACCTGAGAGACCTGCTTGCAAATCGCTTGATTCCGCTGTATATGTAATTGCTTAACCGCTGGCCTGGCCTCCCGCGGGATCCAGCCGCTTTCCGAGAAAGGGCCAGGTACTGCCACTGCCTGGTACCCTCCGGTCTAGTGTCACGCTGATGGGCGATTAATCCACGTCGCAAGTAGATATGAATATTAGTGGGAACCTCTCGGAGAAGCCATTGTTTTGGCAGCGATGTGTGCTTCCCTTTCATTAGCCTCTCGGCCTGGCGGCCATCTCCCATCGGAATGGGAGTTCTCTAGTATGGCAATCACGTTTCTCCAACGCCCAGCACCCAACTCTAGAGCGGAATGTTTGCCCAAGAGACACCGCATTCAAGTGCACAATTCCGGCTAAAACGCTTTGCAAAGCCCAAACTATTTACCTTTCAAAAAGCGAACATTGTGAACCAGTTTTTGTAGTCGCCATTTGAATACACAGAGGGCCAAAAAGAGAGACTATTACGGCCGGCAGGGCACCAAAGTTCAATGTGGGCCAATAAAAACAAGAAAAGTTTGCATACCACACACACATACACTCGTGTGTGTGAAATGTCAGTCGAGGCGAATGGAAAATGGAAATGGTTATTGGAACGACTCATGCGACGGTTCTCGTTGCGAATAGGGAATAGAATCCGGCCTCGGGCCGCGTTTGGTATATGGGATGGCTATATTCGTTCCCAGCCACCTGACTGACGGAATATTTGACGTGTCACTTGACTTGTTGATGAGTTTTCGCTCGGGCTTGGGCTCGGGCTTGGGATTGGGCCCCAAAGCTGGGGCTTGCGGACTTTGGGGCTGCCCAGCGACTCTCATATCATGGATGTAATTGCCGGAATACCAGCTTGTTCCAATTCACTTAACCCCAATCGACACAGACGGACAACAACAACCACAAACAAAAGCCACGAAAATTAAATAATTATCTGTATATTATATTTTATTTTATTTGTGAGAGCCGCCCCAGCCCCAGCCACATAAAGTGGCAGTTTTTGTGCTTAAATGATGCATGAAGTTGAGCAAAAAACAAAAAACCAATTATCCATCTGCCATCTCCCGACTCCCATCTCCACACACCTGCCTCCGCCATGGGCATTTGAAGCACGGTAATTTACATTTTGTGTGCATCAATGGCCCCACTGACCACTGGGCCCACTGCCCAATGCCCAGTGTCCCAAAACTGCAAACAGAATTCGTTTAATTAAAATGCAAACCATAACGCCATGAGATGACTCCCGGTTAGAAGATGGATGATGATTCCCTTCGGGGGAATCCCCTCATTTGGCGAGTGAAAAACTTTGCGGCAGCGATGGGACCACTGCTGGGATGATCGGAACTGCCCCGAAAACAGTTCATATTTTAAAGTCTGATTAAAATCGCAGGTTCACTCTCGAGAGTCCTGTAACGTGACAGGAAATTTACGCTTAAATTTTCCTTCAGGAGCGTTCCACCTCCCCCAAAAAAGGAGGGAAAATAAATTAAAATAAGAAAACGTCGCCAGAACCAGTGCCCGTAAGTCACGTTTTACAATCCCTCCCACAGTCGCACAGTCGCACAGGCGGGACAGGCAGGACATGGACACGGACACGGACACGACAGAGGCAGACCGAGAGCAGGATGTAACAAGAGCTGACAACTCTTGGAAAGAAGAGTCCACGGACGGAGTCCATGTGTGCGAGTTGGAGTGTGGACTGTCTGCCGTCTGCTGTCTACTGTCTGGCTTTGTGCGATGCCCGATGATGCCATGAATGATGACAAACTTGTTGACGACTGCAAATTAGCTGCAAGTGGTCAGGGGTAGGGGCAGGGACAGAGGCAGGGGCAGGGGCAGGGGAGGGCATTCAATTTGTGGCCAGGAATGGAGTGGAATCGAGGAGATTGGCAGCCAACAATGTTGGTCAGGAGTTGTGGGAGTCGCTGGCTTTGCACTGAGGGAAATCGCCTCCATTTTAAAGCTTTATCGCAGAACCGCTTAATCTATATGCAATTTCCCATATCTAGACTCGAACTAATACGTTTTTTCCCCCTCTCGCAGACGGGTTTAACCCTCACGCCAGAAATGCTGCTCTCCACCTCGGAGTCATCGACGCACAGCGCCTCCGAGGTTGCCGGCCGACTGCAGGTCGATGTGCGGACCGGCCTCAAATGGACAGAGGCCAAGTACCGGGCCAAGATCATTGGCCACAATGAGCTGCTGCTGATCGAGGAGGAGCCCACATGGAAGAAGTACATCGAGCAGTTCAGGAACCCTCTCATCCTGCTGCTGCTCGGCTCGGCCCTGGTCTCAGTGATCATGAAACAGTTCGACGATGCCGTCAGCATAACCATCGCCATCCTGATCGTGGTCACGGTGGCCTTCATCCAGGAGTACCGCTCCGAGAAGAGCCTGGAGGAGCTCAAGAAGCTGGTGCCCCCCGAGTGCCACTGTCTGCGCGAGGGCCGCCTCGACACGTTCCTGGCCCGCGAGCTGGTGCCCGGCGATGTGGTGCACCTCAACGTGGGCGATCGTGTGCCCGCCGATGTGCGTCTCTTCGAGGCCGTCGACCTCTCCATAGACGAGAGCAGCTTCACGGGCGAAACGGAGCCGGCCCGCAAGATCACCGACGTCCTGCTGAACAACACGAACGTGAAGGACCACAGCAACATGAAGAACATCGCCTTCATGGGCACCCTGGTGCGCTGCGGCAACGGCAAGGGCATCGTGGTCAGCACCGGGGAGCGCAGCGAGTTCGGCGAGGTCTTCAAGATGATGCAGGCCGAGGAGGCCCCGAAGACGCCGCTCCAAAAGTCAATGGACATCCTGGGCGCCCAGCTGAGCTTCTACTCGTTCCTCATCATCGGCGTCATTATGCTGCTCGGCTGGCTCCAGGGCAAGCCGCTCTCGGAGATGTTCAACATCAGCGTCTCGCTGGCAGTGGCCGCCATACCCGAGGGCCTGCCCATCGTCGTAACCGTCACCCTGGCCCTGGGCGTCATGCGGATGGCCAAGCGCAATGCGATCGTGAAGAAGCTGCCCACCGTCGAGACCCTGGGCTGCGTGAACGTCATCTGCTCGGACAAGACGGGCACTTTGACCAAGAACGAAATGACGGCCACGATCATCATCACCTCCGACGGCTACATGGCGGACGTGACCGGCGCCGGGTACAACGACCAGGGCGAGATCCACATCCGGCACTGCAACAACGTGGAAATGGCCAAGACCAACATCACGAATCTCCTGGAGATCGGAGCCGTCTGCAACAACGCGTACATCCAGAACGGCACGCTCCTGGGCCAGCCCACCGAGGGAGCTCTGGTGGCGGTGGCCATGAAGAACGGCATGTACGCCACGGCCGAGAACTATGTCCGCATCCAGGAGTACCCGTTCAGCTCCGAGCAGAAGATGATGGCCGTCAAGTGCATCCACAAGTACAACAACAACAAGGAGGAGTTCTTCTTCGCCAAGGGAGCGCTGGAGACGCTCCTGCCGCAGTGCACCAAGTACCAGTTCGGCACGCAGACCGTGCCCCTGACCAAGCAGAACGAGGCGGAGTTCCTCTCCGAGGCCTACGAGATTGGACGCAAGGGCCTCAGAGTGCTGGCCCTGGCCAAGGGCCGCTCCATGCAGGATCTGATCTACTGCGGCCTGGTGGGCATCACCGATCCGCCGCGGCCCCTGGTCAGGGAGTCCATTGAGATGCTGATGCAGAGCGGTGTCCGGGTGAAGATGGTCACGGGCGATGCCCAGGAAACGGCCCTGGCCATTGGTGAGTAGATTATTTATGTACATTCGGATTAGTGTCAGTCTTCAGGAGCAACCTGAGTCCAACATTGTGGCAACATTGTGTCTTGGCGAAATGGGGGGAAATCAGATTCGCTTTCCTGACAACCCGCAAACATCCTCTGTCCTGGTTGATTACCTCAGCTCAAAACTCAATTAAAAACTCTTTAAGCAGACACACAGAGACGGAGACGGAGCACAGCTCTTTCCTGCCCCGCTGCTGCCCTCTTTCTTGCCACAAATTGTTGGCTTTAACTAAAGTGCTGAGCCGTCCGAAACTATGCAAATAAATTTGTCCATGCCACGTAATTAAAAGTGGCATGGCCCGGGCCGTGCCGGGCCTCCTCTGGCTTAGCCACAATTTATGTTTGCCATGGAGATATTCCACTGCGGACGCATGAACTCTGAACTGGCTGTGCCACAAGTGGGACATGTGAGCGGCAAACCCAGACCCAGACCGAGACCCAAACCGAGACCTCTCTTCGGGCGGGAGAAGTCAAAGGAGTGCTCTTCGGGACCACACAATGCAACGCAGCGTCCTGCTGGACAGCCTAAAAGTATGCAAACAGAATTAATTAACCATAGAGCCAGCGGTCAGGGATGGAGGTGGAGGTGGAGGGATCTGGCATCTGGGATCTGGGGAGCAGTTTACAAGTTTTCCAGCCCAAAACTTGCGCTCAAGGAGTTCTTCTTCCGGAGCAGCCGCATCTCGGGGGCGTATGTGCGAGTGTGTGTTGGTTTCGAGGACTGCACTTGGCCATCCGTGGAGTTTCCTCAAGTTGGCAACTCCAAGTGGAGCTGAAGTTGAGGTTGCGTGAAATTGTTCCCAGTGTGGACTCGAGAGAAACTTACCTATTAATGGCAAGTGCTTGGGGTAGGGCGGGGCAGGGCAGGGCAGGGCAGGGCAGGACAGGACAGGGCTGTGCAGGGGAATATATATATTTAAATTCGACAGCGAAGGACCTCCCGAACGGGGCAAACCGAACCGAAAAAAGATACAAAAAGCAAGCGCAGTAAATTGGAAAAGATAGCGCACACAGAGAGCACAAAGGAAGCGACCACGAAAAGCGGGAAGCCGAAAAGAGAAACTCAGGTAACCAGCTCCTTTGGGCCTCCATGCAGATGGAACCAGCCCCACATCTAATATCCTGCAACGCACAGGACGGAGCACGGAGCACGGAGGACAGAGCAGAGCAGAGCAGAGCAGAGAACAGAACAGCGCAGAGCACAACAGCAGCCACATCGACATCGACATCGTTGTCAGTCGTAGAAATAATTAACTGTGGCTCCATCTCCATCTCCCCAGTCCCATCATCCTCATCATCGTCGTCGTCATCTACATCCTGGTACATCTTTCTCATCAGTGGCGCATCTGCTGCGGACATTATTCCATCATCTGCATGGACTGTGGACCTGCTCCGGGACTCCCCTTGATGGAAAAACTTCCTCTATTCAGTTTGGTGGTTGGTTCTGCTCGCTTCTCGTTTTTGCATCTTTTGTGAAATTTGATTTAAAATATTTAATTTTCAGTTTGCCCTTGCATATTGATTGAACTCCTTTCCACTCTGTATCGCTCCTGCCTGTCTGCCCCTCTGCCCGTCTGTCTGTCTGCCTCTACACTTTGCTTTGTTATTTCAGTCGACAATCCGCTTATGGGCTACCTAATTGGCCGGGATATCATAGCTCTCGTCCGAGGGAGGCACCATTCATTCCAGGTGCCTCTGCCCCAGGGGCCACTGTGTGTACAGTTGGGCAGCAGTTTGGGGTGCCAATTGCATCGGCTAATCCCAGACATTCTGCACGTTTGACGGCGTTTGCTGGGAACGAAGATGGATGGCCGCTGCTGTGGGACGGCATAATTGAGTCGATGTATTTCATTTTCAATTTGCTTGGCAATTATGCGCCACTGGCGCTCCCTGCTTAAGCTATGAGCTGTGGCTGCGCTGGTAATTGAGTTTGTGGCTCGTTTAAAGTGGCTCAGACCGGATTGGCGGCGGTCCCTCAGGGGCGCCGGGGGCCCCTTGGCAGATCGACTTGATTCCGATATCAGCGTGAGGAAACAGCTATTGGTCACGTTTCCTTTCCCGATCAAATCTGCGGCCTCGCTGGGCCTATGGGCCCGCAGTCTTAATCAACTCTGCTGTGTGGTATGTCGATGTCTATGTCGATGGCCCCCAAACATGACACACATCCAATTAGCGGAGTGCACCCTCAAATGCACTCCGGCATTCGATGCACAACTGACAATCGGTATTCGCCCGGAGCGATTGCGGCGTGTGTGTGTGTGCGGGGGGGTGCAGGGGGCATGCTGATTGCAAGTACTGGAGATAATCATACTCCTAGCGAGTGCACAGTCGCAGGAGCGGAGGGAAAGTCGGAGGAAAGAAATTGTCACGTACATGAGCACGCTTAATAAACAGGGCCAGGAGGAGCAAGGAGCAGCACATCTTGCTATCCGGAGAATGCTGCTGTCGGCAGCTGCTGCTGCTGATACAAATGCAAATGTCACTCACTGGCAGGCAGGGCACAACTTTCCATTTCCCCCCCTCCACATTTTCCCCGCCCCTGCCATGGCCCCACCCCATGTGAAGCTTTCAATTACCAAATGAGACCTTGTAGACCTTCCCTCCTTTGCTCTGCTCTGCTCTGCTCTGCACTGCTCTGCTGCTTTGTTTTTTCCGCCATTGTGCACAATTTTGCTTTGATTTTTGCCCGTTTCTCCGGGCTCTTTCTTGCCGGATGGCGGATGGCTTCGGCTTTCAAAGTGGCAGCTCAAGTGGTAAGCAGAAGGCTTGTTGCACTGTTTTAGGCGCTGCTCGACAGTTTCATAAACTTGGCGGCGCCTCTCCTTTCGGTGCAGCAACTTTTGCTTTCATGTGCACAGAAGACTCCTCTCCTGTCTAATCCGATTTCGGCTTGCGGTCTGGTCCTGCTCTGCGTGGTGAGAGGATGATTTTTATAAGCTCCTGCAACTTTGGTCTGGTGCCACTTTCGGGCTCTCTGTTTATCAGGCCAGGCCAAAGTTTCCCAGAGAATCTTGCCTTTGCCTTTGCCTTTGCCGTTGCCTTGGGTTCGGTTTTTTTTTTTTGGTATTACAAACTTTTTCGGTCGCTCCTGGCGGCAGCTGTTCGTTCAGCTCTGGGATGGCATCCATAGCAACCCTGGCACTCGGAGTAGAGAACGATTGTCCCCAAAAATAAATATATTTCGACACTAATGATCTTTTAAATCATTTTTAATGACCAGCCATAGACGAGTACTCTCTGAATGGAGCCAGTTTTCGCTGCTAAATCAGCATTTCTAATCATTTCTGGCCACTCTCGAATCCATTCATCTGGAAGAGCCGAGAGCCTTTCCACCTGTTGGGGGAATCGTCGACGGCCGCAGGTGAACTCTGCGCCCCCACCAGCTCCTCCAACCATCCAATGCCACCCACTGGGCGTTCGTCCGTCCGTCGCATCCGCGGCGCGTGTCAATGTCAATGCGGGAAGAGAATTGTTCAATCAGCATGCAATGTTGATGCTGCCGTACAGAGGTGGGGTGAGGTGAGGTGAGGTGGAAAAAACACAGCAAAAGCAGTAAAAAATGCGAATTGCAATTATGCCGTTTATTTCATTTTTTATACCCACTATTCTCAAAGAGAACTGGGGTATATGGCGTTCGATAGAATTCATGTAACAGAAAAAGAAAACCAGACAAATGCACAGGTGCTATCCGGAAATGTAGAGATCTTGGCGCAAAAGAGGGCTGTTTGAAAAGTCTGGTGGGTAGGTGATGGCTCTTAACTCTCCCCAATGCTCCGATGTTTTTTTAGACTACCATTTAGGTGCGAACAAAATGCATGTCGTGTGCAGGACAATGCATATTGCCGCTCAGCTCGTATCTCTCGCTGATAAGGGTGGTTTTTGCTCCCCCATTCTAAAAGCATAGAGGGTACCCCATGTTCAGGCTTTTATTATAGTGCTCTCTTTATTGTTTTATTCGTGTTTTTTATCGCGCTTTTCCAAACAACGCGAATGGCGACAAATCGAATTTTTTATGCATTGCTTATGAAGGTTTTCTGGCATGCCAGACGCGCGGCTGTCATCAGCAGAAATTGAAACTCAAATCGAAATTGCAGTTTTCCCAAGCATAGACAGGTGAGCACGATGGATGGATGGATGGATGGATGGGTGGATGGATGGATGGATAGTTGGGTGATGGCACGCTTGCAGCATGCCCCCGCCCGCTCTTTGGTGCCGCTCTTGTTTTTTCGCGTGAAAATTAAAATCAGATGATTAGTTTTTGCGGTCAATGGCGTCCAGATACGGTACGGAGGTTGTAGGCGGAATGCCTGATGATGTCTGATGATGAACTTTAAATTCAAATTGAACCGAAAACTATGCGAATCTCTGGCTTATGGATGTGGGAATCAACTTATGAACAGAATGAACAAACGTGAATAGCTCCGAATAGCGCGCGGCCAACACTTAAAGGAGAGTACCATAAGCGGGAGCCACAGAACTGCAACTTGGCCAAGATAATGGCCCTCATTGAAGCTTGCATTCATTTTAATTTTTTGCGCCAAGGCGACCGCCGTCTAGCGTCTGGGCCATTAAGCCAGGGGACCAGCAAAAGCAAAATGAAACTGAAACATTCCCATGGAGGTCCCCGGGAGAGAGATAGAGATGCCGCTGCTGGCCACCTCTGTCATTTCCTGCAGCAGGAAGCCGATACGAAGGATACTCGGATGGCGAAGGAGATGGCGATGCAGCCTTTAATTGTCTGGGAGCTGAAAGAGCAGCCAGACCAGAAGAAGGAGCAGCTCCGAGCAGGAGCAAAAGCAAAAGCAAGTGCCGGAGCCGGAGCCGGAGCCGGAGCCGTAGGAGATGATGGGCAGCAGCGTCGTGAATGCGTTTTAATTACGTTTTCTGTTGCTCATTTTGCCGCGCATCTCGCCATTGTTCCGTGCCGTGCCGTCCCGTGCCGTGCCGTGGCTGGGTTGTGTTGTTCCTGCTGTTTGTTATAATATACTTCAGCGCACTCTAGCTAAAAATGTTGTACAAACAGGGCCGGGCCCACTGACGGAATAGGATGCGATGCCGTCCAATGGTTCGCTCGCAGGATGGCAGATGACAGAGTCCCCTCTAACCCCCCCTCCGCTACCCCACCGCCACTCGGAAAGACAAATACGCGGGCGCCATAATGAAAGATGGCGTCGCGACTCTTTGGAAAAGAGTACCGTCCGTACCGTACCCTCTCTGTCTCCGGCAGCTGGCGCTCCCTCTTGTGCGAACTTCATAAATGCGCTCAAGTGCAAAACGAAAAATAAAACACAAAAAACAAAAACAGAGCCCGGGAAGTGGGTAGTGGGAAGTGGGAAATGGGAAATGGGGAGCCCGAGGCACTGGGAGCCATTCCCCCTGGAGTTTTTCAAGTTTATTGCTTGGCTTACAATTGAATTTTCAAAGAGGGAACCTGCCTGCCAACACACCCGACAAATTAACAATTGTTTTTGCATTTGCTCCACGGATTACAACCAAAGTCGACGGCATCAAGCTGTGTGCCGGCACACACGCGCCAGCAGGCAGCTCCCGGCAGCTCCACTTGCCTGTTGCTTTGCACAGTTCATCGCCAATTGCTTGGAAAATGCAATGAAAGACTTACTCGATTTACTCGACTGCCCTGGAACAACAGAGCCAGAAGACAGTGGGAGAGGGAAGAGCCCTGTGCCAGGTGAGGGATTACAAGGGATTAGAAGTGGACTCAGGGATGAAGGGAGTAATTGCAAAGATAGCTCCCACACTATCCCATCTCATCCGAAGACTACTTCAATTAAGTGTATATAAATCCAGGGAGAGGCAACCACACGTATCGGCCATTTCTAAGCGGTTTTTTCCTTTGTTTCTTGCAGCCAATCTCATCGGCATCGACACCATCCACCACCAGACGCTGTCCGGGCAGGAGATGGATCAGCTGAACGAACACCAGCTGGACAAGGTGGCCAACAACGTGAGCGTCTTCTACCGCGTCTCGCCGCGCCACAAGCTGGAGATAGTCAAGTCGCTGCAGCGCACCGGCAACATTGTGGGCATGACTGGGGACGGGGTCAACGACGGAGTGGCCCTGAAGAAGGCGGACATCGGCATTGCCATGGGCAAGAATGGCACGGATGTGTGCAAGGAGGCTGCCGACATGATCCTGGTCAACGACGATTTCCACACCATCATGTGAGTAGATGCGGTAGCCATTGTAGAAGTCACTCTCTGACCGATTCTCCTTTCCCTTTCGCTTCCGTGCAGAGCTGCCATCGAAGAGGGCAAGGGCATATTTTACAACATTCGGAACTTTGTGCGCTTTCAGCTGAGCACCTCGATCGCTGCCCTGGCCCTGATCGCTCTGGCCACGCTGATGGACATTGCCAATCCGCTGAACGCCATGCAGATTCTATGGATCAACATTATTATGGACGGGCCGCCCGCTCAGTCGCTGGGCGTGGAGCCCGTGGACCACGACGTGCTCAAGCAGAAGCCGCGGAACGTCAAGCAGCCGATGATCACCAAGTCGGTGGTGGCGAATGTGCTACTGAGTGCCAGCATCATAGTGCTGGGCACACTGTGGGTGTTCCAGCGCGAAATGGCCGACGGCACTTTGGGGAAGACCAAGCGGGACACGACCATGACCTTTACTTGCTTCGTATTCTTTGACATGTTCAACGCCCTGTCGTGCCGATCGCAGACGAAGAGCGTGTTCACCATTGGGCTGACCACCAACCGCATGTTCCTGCTGGCCGTGGCCTTCTCGATCATTGGCCAAATGCTGGTCGTGTACTTTCCACCGCTGCAGATGGTCTTCCAAACGGAGGCCCTGACGCCCTACGACATCCTTTTCCTGGTCACGCTCACCTCCTCCGTGCTGGTCGTCTCCGAGATCAAGAAGTGGTTCGAGCGCACCATGGAGCGCAAGATGTACAGCACCCGCTCCGAGCTGGACTTCGTATGACAAAACGCAAGCGCTAGAGACGAGTTGCACCCGAAAGCCGAGTAAATTAAATAACAAACAAAAATAACAAAAAAAAGAGAAAAACTATGCCAAAACCAAGTGAGGAGCGTGGTGGACTGGACCGACGAGCAGCAGCAGCAGCAGCAGGAGAGAAGCACGAGAGCAGCGAAGTGTGTGTTTAGTTTTACATTTGACTCGACTCGACTCGACTCAAAAGTTAGCCAAAATTTAATCAGCAAAGCTGGGCGCAACTAGCCCCATTCCGGATTCCCATATTCCCATACATAAATATATTCGACGTAAGCCTCAAGGTTCGCGTTAGCTCTCTGTAAGTTTTGCATAGATTCTATCATTATCACTTTACTTTGTTCAGCTTATTTTTTTTGTTTTTTTTTTCCTATTTTATTGTATCGTATTGTATTGTATTGTATTTAGTTCTTAAGTAGACAATTTGTAGAGCTATTTTAATTTTGTTCGCTTTGCGTAGTTTGTTCACGGATGCTCAAGTATTTGAAAAAGCCAAGCGTCTCCAAAACGTCTCTTTTTATTTCTCAGCGTACAGCGCACACCATTGGCTCCGTTGGCTCCATTGGCACCGGCCCCCCCGGGTTGGGCCGGCCAGGCTCAGTTTTCACTTACTTGCCATCCATTTTCATTTAAGCTCCAAGTGCTGCTCTAGTTTAAGCTCCTAAACTGGCGAATCAAGTCATTTCAAAGTGTGTTTGATGCGAGTATGTCGGCGAAACATTTTTAATGTGATATTATTTTAAGCTCATAGACAACAGCAGCCTGCAAGAGAGCGGATCGCAAATTTAAGTTTCAATTTAAGTTGGTTTGCTTCTCGGCTCGTGGCGGCGCCAAATATTTTCATTTTGACAAATAAAAGCAAACTGCAGCAAATCCCCAAGAGATTCTATGTTCTATAATAATCGACCTGATCTCTATCCCACAGCAGCGAACCAAGAACCACAGAAATTCAACTGAGCAATCGTTCAATCGTCTCTCAGATTCAATCCAACAGATGCAGATGCTGATACAGATGCAACCCACAACCTAAAGTACCCTACCCGATTAAAATGTAAAAGAAATGTGCAGGAGTCGCAGGAGCCCATAAGACGAGGACGGAGCCCAGGCGCAGTGAAGTGAAGCAAATGGTTTTTAGTAATTTTGTTATCTAATTTATTCGGTGTTTGAGAAAACAAGCAACAAATTTGTGTACAACAACCGCAAAACGAGTCTCTAGTGCGCTAGCAGCCAAAACAATTTAGAACGCGACTCCAGCTCCCGAACCAACACCTTCGAAGGGGGCGGGGAGGCTGGAGATCGCCAAAAAAAAAAAGGAATACTTCGCGTATATAAAACAATGATTATGTATTTTATATACGTATGAATATTTGAGTAATTTGAATTTGAGAGTCCTAAGTAGACCAAATGTGTTTTTTAGTTTGCCGCCAAAGAGCAAACAGCAAACAGTTCAAAAACAGAATAATGCACAGAACAATGAGATGAGCAAGATGTGTAGCAAGGCAAAGCCAATTCCTCTCATAGCAGCACCAGATTACTGGAAAGTAATGTATTTTATTCAGATATATTCAGATATATATTCAATTCAAATGGTATTCGTAGCAAGTAACCCCACAATGTACTCACCTTAAGACCCTTCAGTTTCGAGGTTTGAGCATTGAACAGAGAAGCAATAATTAAAACAATACGATATGACAGTCGGTTGGGCTTGTCATCCTATATACTCGATCTCCCCCCTCAAATAGACAGTTTCAATGGGAAAAATCAAAAGAAAAAACAAAAGAAAACAAAAATAAAACAAAACAAAAAAACTGCAAAAATAGTCAATTAATACATTTTGAAACCGTATTAAGAGGAAAATATACATATATTCAAGTGAATTCGTAGACACAAGATCTAAAATTAATAGTAAAGGCAACATGTAATCTCACTTCTATGTTATTGTTAAATCCTCCCAATATCATCGACAGTCGATTCATATCATCACCACTCAGAAGACCCATGACCCCTCTCGCTCGAGCGACCAACCACTCATATTTCTACCGATCAGATCGCCCCCGATAGAGTATCGGGAGTGAAGATTTCACTGATTCACTGATGCATATCACATTTGCACCTAGAACGCAAAGCTTACTCACTGGCAATCGGCTCGGATTGTCTTCGATCCTAAAGGCTCAGCTCGGAAAGCAACTTTTACACCTTTCGTTGAATGAACACCTATTTTTCACGTGTGTTTTAGTGCAATGAGTTAATAAGTTAATGGACCAAGCAAGAAATTATTTACAAGAATTGTATCACACACTTCAATATCAGGCTTAAGCTCTCATGATCCACCAAGACACAGGCGCACCCTCATATATCATGGCAAGAAAAGTCCTCAAAAAAAAACAGAAAATCATTTAAAAATACACACAAAAAAAATGTAAAATCTACGATGAAAAATTATAAAAAAAAATGAAAGAAATTGTTTTACAAAGCATTCCTAGAAGCAAGCAAAGGCTCATTATCATAACCCACGCATGAATGCATACCACACATAAACATAAGGTACACCGGACACGCCCACTCACACACACTCACACACACACACACACACTCACTCACATCTCATCCACAATGGTAACAATAATTAGTAAATTAAGTATATTTGATTAACTAACGACAGCAACAAGATCAATATCAAGATCCAGATCCACTGCATGCATGAGTGTCTGAATAATAAAATATAATATGAATACGAATACGATTACGATTACGATAAAATAGTCGAAACACAGGTAACGAGATAACGTATCTAATGGAAAATATACCAAAATTATATGTATTGTACGGAATTTTTTTGATTAGCAAAGATCGTGGATTGGCAGAGGATGTATGTGCTGGACTATGCGAGAAACAATAATTTATAACGATCGATATTGATATTGATATTATGCTTAACCACTAAACGATAACCGGGCTATGAAGATATCCGAAGGAAGCGAAGGCGCGTATATAAGCCGCGTATCATATGTGTATGTCTGTGTAAATGTCTAACAGTGCTGGCTGAAATATCGAGCAGTTCACGTGCTATCAAGTCTCAATCTGTTGCTCATCTGTTTTACGATCTACTTTAGTCTTTAGTTGGTTCAGTTAGATGGAATGTACAAACTGCTGGAATGCGAAATGATTCTCGAATGATTTTTTTGATCCAGGCTTAACCTAAATGAAATTAAACTATAACTAACTGTGCTATTAAATGTAAGCGTAAAGAATATATACATAGATGAATACCAAGCATAGGGCAGACATTTCAGAAATATTTGCTACTTTTTTCTTACCCAGACTCCCGCCCCCGACCCCAGCCCTGGACACGATTATTCTTTACCTACATATATCTATATCTTTATCTTTCCTCCCCTTCACTCGATGCAACTGAGGCCAGCTCTATACCATGTAAAAGTCAACTAATGAATTTACATACCCGTAATTACATAATTTCAATATTTAGTTAAGTGAATAGCATTGCGATCTGCAGAATCTTAAAAATACTAAATAAATTATACAACTAACTGTACTAATAATATATTTAATATTTATCTGCGCGAGAAATATTTACTAAATAAAATAAACTTTACGTAGTAGTACATACAATACTAACCCGGTGGAGGCTTCTTTGACTTAATATCCTTGGGAACCTTGCAGGAGTGTGCCTTCATGGAGTGTCCCAGAAACAAATTTGTGGAGATCGGGAGCACGTGGCAGACGTTGCGTGGCGCGGTTATTGGATGAAATTGTCGGGGGCATTCTCTGCATTTTCCCTCAGGAAATCATTTAATATTTTAAATTTGTTAGTTTGGCGCCAAATAACAAAATGCATGTGACCATATACTAAAAAATTAAAAAATACCAACAAATTAATCCAAAATTTTTGAAAAATACCAAAATTTGTTTCCAGCAACAGAGTTCGATAGAATTTATCGCACTAATACATCAGTGCATTAAATGATTTAAATATGCCATCTACAACATCGAGCTGGTTTTTAATTGAAGCCTAGTGCTTCAAAAATTTCGGATAATAATGTCTAACAGCGTGCTTACACTAGGGCTGAGTCATGCGTCTTTGCGTAGTTCTTGTAGAACGGATAAGGCCTAATGGTGGCAGCTAGTTTCATCCTTTTTGAACTCTAGTGCGCTTATTCAAACCGTAGGGCATGCGGTCACACTCTAGGAAAATATATGACAAACAATTAACTATTGAGACCAGTGGGTGTATTAAAATACACTCCACGAAACTTATGTAGCCTGAAGAGTTTTAGCGCATTAAAGAGGAAGGATAGGATGGGTTTACAAGAGAACTTTAGAAATAGTATTATTTTCTGCGACTTAACTCAAGTCCAGTTCAAATAGAGCGGGCAAAGTTTGTTGTTTTATCGGTATATTTACGGTATACTTAAAAAGTGAGACAGTAAATTTCGGTATATTTCTGAGGGTAGCAAATGTGTAGAAATGTGAACTCCATACTTGCCATTTGTTATTTTATTTTTGTTTTGTTTGCATCTGAAGGATATCTGAAGCATATAATTATAATTCTATAATACTATATTCTTCTTGCGTTCGGCCAAGAAATTCGCAGATTCAGAATAAATCATGAATGATTCGGATTCTGAATACGAGGAGAGCGAATACTTGGTTTTTGCGGATTTCAAAAACCAATTACCACCTCACACGCTTAAGCACGAGGATGCTGCCATTAAAATTATAGGAGTGGAAAGCGACAACCCCATGGCCGAGGTAAATGGCAGCATTTTCAAAGGCACCTACGAGCACTCCACAGGGACAAATGTGTTTTTCGAAAAAGACATGGATCGTTCGCCGGCTGACCCGCTATTCGAGGCAGCCTGTCGACAGAAGTACCAATACCTAGACAAGTCAGACAAGGTAATTTCCTTTGAGCGCGCTTATATAGAGCACTTGCCGCCAGAACCTGACAAATCAACAGTGGTGCCAGATACAATTACTGAAGACACAGACACGCCGCAGACAACAAAGCTGAATATCACCTATAAGGACGCAATAAATAAGTTTGGAGAGGAGAATTAACTTTGGTATGTCTGAGGTAGTCCCGCGTCCGACACACTGTTCATCAATAATCCTCTGATATTCTCATTTCAGCACCATGGAAAGTTATCTCGAGACGCTGGAGAGATCTATACACTTACGCTATTTTTAAATCGATTACCAAGACAACTTGCGAAACAAATACCTCGCCGACGATTGTGGATATGGACAAAAGTTACTTATTTGATTTGATTTCATCGCCAGACAAAAACAGTATCCATATCTAAGAGCCCGGCATACATAGCCCCGCATAAAAGAATGAACTTACAAAGTCCATTAATTGCTGGGGAATTTGACTATCTAGGCAATCCCAATAAATATCACTAACCGTCCGTCACCCTCGTTGGTGTACTTGTTTGCCTTCGTTTACCTTCCTTTTTTAAAGCTTTAACCAGCAACCTGTTCTGCAGCAACCTGTACTTAGCTTTGTAAGACCAACTCTCGCTCACCGGATAAGTATTCCCTCGTTTTCACTGGCATTGGCAGGTTGGCCGGCTATTCGGAGATTATTTGCCGCTGGTGGACCCGCCGACGAAGTTCCTGCAGCTGGTCAATGTTCACTGGAATTGAATGTAATTTCTACTGCTCCTTCTGGTGCTGCAATGTCCGGAAGATTTTCCAGTTGAATCTGCTTTGGTGTGGCGCCTTGGTTGCGATACCCTGCTTAAACCCTGAACTCACTCAGTATGGTTCCCCACCGCTAGATGGCGCACACTGCACGTTGAGAGTTTATGAGAGAGAGAGAGAATTAGTACGAGCGTGGAATCCGTTGTATTAATTTGTTCATTCTGGCCATAAATAAAGATCCGATCCAGATCCTTCAGATATGGTCATTCTTTATAATTTTGCGTTTTTAATTTTGTCGTATCTTTAAATTTGAGGATGCTACAAGGGGGCGAGCGAAATTTCGAAGTACATTTGAATCATTTTTTGTTTAGTCTTGAACGATTAAAAATCTGATTTTTCTAGGTGCGAATTATTTTATTGCAATCAAAATTGTTTATTAGGGCTGCATTTGCATCTAATTATCGCATAGAAACGTGCAAAATTAAGAGCATCCCAGATGGATGGCGGAATACCTCAGAATTTTCGAGACTGCAAAACTTTTCGGACCATCTCAGAAATGGATGGTGGCCAGGATGGTGAATAGGCTATTAGAGCTCGGCTTAAGCTGTAAAGAATGATGCACAACTTTCAAGTGAGAGATGATGGTGTGGCGCCTTGGTTGCGATACCCTGCTTAAACCCTGAACTCACTCAGTATGGTTCCCCACCGCTAGATGGCGCACACTGCACGTTGAGAGTTTATGAGAGAGAGAGAGAATTAGTACGAGCGTGGAATCCGTTGTATTAATTTGTTCATTCTGGCCATAAATAAAGATCCGATCCAGATCCTTCAGATATGGTCATTCTTTATAATTTTGCGTTTTTAATTTTGTCGTATCTTTAAATTTGAGGATGCTACAAGGGGGCGAGCGAAATTTCGAAGTACATTTGAATCATTTTTTGTTTAGTCTTGAACGATTAAAAATCTGATTTTTCTAGGTGCGAATTATTTTATTGCAATCAAAATTGTTTATTAGGGCTGCATTTGCATCTAATTATCGCATAGAAACGTGCAAAATTAAGAGCATCCCAGATGGATGGCGGAATACCTCAGAATTTTCGAGACTGCAAAACTTTTCGGACCATCTCAGAAATGGATGGTGGCCAGGATGGTGAATAGGCTATTAGAGCTCGGCTTAAGCTGTAAAGAATGATGCACAACTTTCAAGTGAGAGATGATTTGTATCTAGACATAAAGTAGATGGGCCGCGATTAGCCTGATATATATGTATCTCCATGAAGTAATTAATTATTTACAGACTATTCAACGGCGCAATGATGATCTGGTGAGTTTTATATCTGTGTTTTTTTTGGATCTAGTGTAGACTGGCCTTAACCTTAAACGCGAACTTCCGTTCAGCGACATATTCTCTTCATATCCATATGGGATGACGATAATTTGTAGGTATACAAATTTTCTTCAATATTATTCATATTCCATTAAAAATATTAATTCATCCGACGACACTGATGTTCCATGTGAAAACGTGTCAAGGATCGAGGGGGATTCATCCCTTGTCTGACGTAGTCATGAGACTCTGAAAATGGAAATTTGTACTTTTAATACTGGTTTTGAGGCTACTGAGCTTTTTCAGCAGCGTAGTTCGATAATTCGATGATTGTTTAGCTAAATGTGTTTTATTGTGGGGGATAGTGTATAATAAATAAAGAGGCAGAACAATAGCGAAAGGTGTGCCGATGTGATAGCGATAGCGGGATTTAAGGACGGGCAGATGATCGCTTCAGGACGGGGTCTGTTCAAGACTGTGACAGTCTTTCTTCCCAAAAAGTAAAACATATGTTCAACAGCTGCGCGACGCTTACCAGCACTAACAAATCGATGTCTATCATGCTATCGCTCTCTTCGCAGCAAATTTACCAAAGTCTAATGTCACACAGCTATAACCATACAGTATATATGTAGGTGTTTCAGTTCATACAACGAACATGTTGCAAAGGAACTTTCTTTGTACGCTGCCAGGGTCTGCGACTATGGCGTCTCAGTTTTCTCTCGAGGGTCCAGGTTTTAATGTATGGGTGCACACGTACTCGCGCACTCTGCCTGTATAGGATTGCTGGCATTTGTGGATTTAACTTAAGCATTTTTAGAGTATTATTTCACCTGCGACACATGATGGTGCATAACCGTTTCGTTTGGCGGCTCCAATTAATACTTGTCTCTGTGCACCACATTAGCACACGGATATGATATGATGGCCTGTAAAACACAATTTTATATAAATTAAATTAAATATATAATATAATAATAATAATATAAAAATAATAATAATATAATAAATTAAACTTAAATTAGAATTAGTCTAAGATCCGTAATGGCTCATGTGGGCCAGCTCTCTGGGCAAGACTGCATTCCGTTACCATGCCATCAGGCTGTGGCCTGAGCGGAATCCCGAAATCATTTAAAAACCTTGCTTGCTATACCCGTACATCAAAGAGTTTAGAGACATAGGGTGTGTGTAACAGAAGGAAGCGCTTCCGACCCCATAAATTATATATATTGTTAGGGGGAAGGGGATTTATATTGTTATATTGGAGGGGGTATTTCCCATGAGATCTACGGGAAGGAGGTCCAGGAGGAGAAGGTATCCAGGGCTTCACCTGGAGTAGTGCATAGCCTGCCAGTTATGCATAGATCTCTACTGAGTTTGTTGAGACAAGTTCTGTTGTCTAGGGCTTGTCCATTGAGCATGATTGGTCGTATGAAGGCGTTGTATAGCCTCGGATCTATATACGGAGTCATTCCCCGATTGCTTTACTGCATTTATAGAGGGCCATTCTCTACCTTTGAGAAAAAAGCATACCCGACTCGGTTAAGATGTATATTTTAGGGGAACAGATTAAATTGCACTTGCTAATACAATTATTGACTTTAAATTACATTTAATAACAATTGTCTGGCTTAAAACTATTTACAAACATAAGGTGCACATTGACCGTTTACCTTTCGGGTGTTCTACATATCGTTATATATGTATATGTTATGCATTATCGCGCTTGCTCTCGCTTCCGCAAGACCAACAAAAAAAAAAAAGTGCTACCGTCTCGCTGGTGCGCCAGAGAACGTAACGCGAGAACCTTAAAATTTCATTTATCTTAAAAAAATCACATTTCATTTATCTTGTTCTACAACTCGAATCTAATGCTGCAGCCGCCTGTCTCCGAAATGCCTCCTGCGGAAACCAACTATGCCAACTATGCGCTATTTATAAAGTAACAGCTGCCCCTCTGCGTGGGTGGCCGTGACCTTGGCATTGGGGTTAAGGGAATGGGAGTGGGCCACCACTCTGTACCACTGCCGTGCAACTGGAGCCTATAACTCTAACGCTAATAAATTCGTACGACGGCGAGTCCTCGCCACGCCTCTGTAGCTGCCTCAACCGATTCGAGTATCTAATGCTCCGAGCTGAAGTACGAATTTTGCATGAGATATAGCTTGTCGATCGGGTTTATCAGGCTGGTGTTCAGGTTGGCCAACATGTCGTGGGGATTCGAGTGCGAGTGCTGGTTGCCGGATGAGCTGGTGGACTGCAGCTCCAGGTTGTTCAGCGACAGGGAATCTGCGTCGTCGTCCAACTGGTCGAAATTGCTGCCATCCAGCGACAGGTCCGAGCTGCAAAAGCTGTCGTTCGAGTTGGCCGGGTAATCTGTGAAAGGAGTAATCGGCTCAAATCTGCGGTCTAGTCTGGTGATAAGGTTTTCTTACCGTCCGGGGAGAAGGGCAAGTTGGGATTTAGTGGCTGGCTGGCAAAGGCGTTGTCCAGTCCGCCTAGATAGCCCGAGCTGTCGCCGCCCATCTCCTGCTTGACACACTTGTCCTCCTTCTCATTGGACTCCTTGTCATCGGCGGCGCTGGAGTTGCCTGTGCCACGACCGCCTCCAGATCCTCCCGAGCTGCCACCATTCTGCTTGGCCTTGCGTTGGATCTTCTTCATCTTGGCGCGCTGGTTCTGGAACCACACTTGAACCACGCGCACCGATAGTCCGGTGTCCTTGGCCAGGGCCTCGCGTACCTTGCGGCATGGCTTGGGCGACTGATCGAAGGAGGCCTTGAACTGCTTACGCTGCTGTGAGGTAAGAATGGTGCGGGGTCGCTTCGGACCGCGACGTCCGTCCCGTGGCCGCAGCAGATCCTCCTCGTCCAGGCCCACAAAGCCGCAGTGCTGGGCTGCAGCCGCGGCCAAGAACATCTCCTTTTCCAGGTCGTGACGGTAGCAGAACAGCTGGCCGTCGCGCAGCATGAACTGCTCGCCCTTCTGGAGGGGCAGTCGGCACGCGTAGCATACGAAGCAGGGCAAGTGGAAGACGTAGTTGGGGATGGGACGCATAACCAGCTCCTGCGGCAGGATTGCGTGACAGCAAGAGGCGCACTTGACCCCGAACAAACGGTCGTAGTCCATCTTGCAGTAGAGCTTGGAGCTGCGCACGTAGCAGGTGTGGTGGAGCTGCATGCCGCAGTAGCAGCAGGCCAGACATTGCTCGTGCCAGTTGGCCTCGCCCACATTCATCAGATAGCGGTCGTGGATCTTCTGGCCACAGCCCTCGCACAGCTCGAAGTTCTTCTCGCATTTGATGTGGCCCACTTCTGTGGAGATGGAGAGAAGGGAAGGCAAGACGTTAGTGAGTTATAAAATCGATTGCGCTGTGCTTATGGTTAGTGGCAGTCGGAAATCTGCACAACCCTACCCGTTATCCCCAACCCGCTTCCCTTCAT